GGAAGGGATATTCAGAATGCATGCCATCTTGAAGTGGGGGGAGGGTTGAGATGGGGTGAAAATTTGGAACTCAAAATCTTGTGGAAGTAGATATTGAAAACTAAAAATAAATAAATTTATATTTAGGAAAAAAAAGAAATCTATTTTGCCCTACAGGAAAGTAGGAGAGGAAAAGGATAAGACAAAGGGGGAGCTGATAGAATGGAGGATGGATAAGGTCAAAATTTAGACATGAAGGGTGATACGTAAGCAAATTAGGGGATCATGGAATAGTTTACCTGTCAGATTTACGAATAAGGGAAGAATTTATAATCAAACAATGCATGGAGTACACTATGGGATGTAAAATGGATAATTTTGATTACATTAAATTAAAAAGGGTTTGCACAAACAAAAGCAATACATCCAAGATTAGAAGGAAGGCAAAAACGGGGAAAATTTTACAGCAAGTTTCTCTGAGAAAGGTATCATCTCTCAAATATATAGAGAACTGAGTCAAATTTATAAATATATATATATAAGCTATTTATTAATTGATAAATGGTCAAAGGATATGAACAGGCAGCTTTCAGACAAAGAAATCAGAACTATCTATACTTTTAGGAAAAAATGCTTTAAATCACTTTTGATTAGAGAAATGAAAATTAAAACAACTCTGAGGTACCACCTCATACCTATCAGATTGGCTAATATGACAGAAAAGGAAAATGACAAATATTGGAGGGGATATGGGAAAATTGGGACACTAATACACTGTTGGTAGAATTGTGCACTGATCCAGCCATTCTGGAGAGCAATTTGGAACTATGCTTAAAGGTCTATCAAACTGTGCATACCCTTTGACCCAGCAATACCACTACAAGGTCTCTATCAAAGAGATTTTAAAAAAAGGAAAAGGATCTATATATACAAAAATATTTATGCATGCTGTCTCCCCATGTGTGTTTGCCTTTCTTTCTATGTCCAGCCCTTAGCCCAGTGCCTGATACTAGGTAAGTACTCTATAAAAGCTTATTCCAACTCTTTTCTGAGCCTAATGCCTGGGGGGTTGAAGGCTACAGCCGACATCAGTCCACTTATTTGCAATTTTTTTTGGTGAGGCAATTGGGGTTAAGTGACTTGCCCAGAGTCACACTGCTAGTGAGTGTTATATGTCTGAGGCTGGATTTGAACTCAGGTCCTCCTGACTCCAGGGCTGGTGCTCTACCCACTGCACCACCTAACTGCCCCAACATCAGTCCACTTAAAGGCTGTTAAAAGCCTGATAAGTATACAACTCATTAATTTATATACTCACTCATTGATTCCTTCCTTCTTTTATTTAGGAAACACATTAAGTACCTATTCTATGGTGGCCCTAAATTGGGCACTAGGAATAAAAAGATAAATAAAACCTAGCCTTTTCCCTCAAGTGGCTTTGGTTTTACTGGGAAATTTAATATATGCACATCTGTATGTACAAATGTGTAATTGTGTATATTAATGGACAGAGTGTTGCTTTTGAGTTGAAAGATATGGATTTAAATCACATGTCTGCCACTTACTCCCTGGGTGACCATGGACAAGTCAAAACAATGGACAAGTATTTTGACTTGTCAAAAAGCCAGCTTTTGATAAGAGCCTATTGTATGCCAGGCACTGTGACCTATCACCTCTCCAGGCCTCAGTTTTCTCATTTGTAAAATGAAGGGGTAGCTCTAGATGAACTTGTAAGGCCCCTTCCCCACCTACCTCTAAAGTTCTTTGATCTTACTCTTCCAAACACAGCATTAGGGATAAAGAAGATTGTAACCCCCTTTTTCTTTCTCTCTCTCCTATCCCACACTGAAATTCCTGACTCTGCTGGAACAAAGAAATCCATAGGACCATAAAATGGATCACAAAATCATAGATTCAGAGCTAAAAAGGACCTTAGAGGTCATCTAATCCAACTCCATTTTACAGATGAAGACATTGAGGCTCAGAGAGAAGCAACTTACCCAGAGTTGCACAACGAATCAGGGAAAGAGTGGGCCTTGAGTTCCTAACCCAGTATTCTGTCTAACCCACTGATAGCCAGAGAAAATGATAGGGAATAGGTGGATGGGTAGGAGAATTCAGAGCAAGAAAGATGCTTGTTCTTTGTTTTCAAAGAGGACCAATGACATCATGGGGTGATGTCTTGACTTGTGAGTGAATTGGATTTAAGTGATGCAGAGCTGCACAGAATCTTCAGCCTCACTCTCTCTCCTAGAGTCATCGAAGTCCAGTTGCAAGACAAAATTCAAGATGACCAGGGATATGGTGAATGGCCTTGGTGTCCTCAATGTCTGACCATCAATTGGGGAATGGATGAACAAGTTGTATATGGTTGTGATGAAATACTATTGTGCTATAAGAAATGATGAGCAGAATGCTCTCAGAAAAACCTGGAAAAGTCTTATATAAACTGATACAAAGTGAAATAAGCAGAATGAGGAGAATATTATACACAGTAACAGCAATACTGTATGATGATCAACTGTGAATGACTTAGATATTCTTATAATACAATGATCTAAGACAATTCCAAAAGACTCATGATGAAAAAAGCTATCTACCTCCAGAGAAAAAACTGATTGGAGTCCAAACGCAGATCGAAGCATACTTTTTTTAAATTTTTCTTGGTGGTTTTTTTTTTGAGGGAAAGGGTCTGTGTTTTCTTTCACAATATAACTAATATGGAAATATATTTTACATAATTGCATGTACATAGGCTATATCCAATTGCTTGCCTTCTCAATAAATGGGGAAGGTGGGAGAGAATTTGGAACTCAAAATTTATTTTAAAAGAATGTTAAAGTTGTTTTTAAATGGAAATGGAAAAAAAATTTAAAAGATACCTTCACCACATTCTTCTTTCTTCTTCCTACCTGAGAGATAAACATATATGTATATTTATGCACACATATATGTATATACACACATATAAATACGTGTATGTATATACATATATGTCTATATATTCACCTATATGTATATGTGTGTGTTGCTGTTCAGTTGTTTCAGTGCTGTCCAACTCTTTGTGACCTCATAAACCTCTGTCCAGAGGTTTTCTTGGCAAAGATACTGGAATGGTTTGCCATTTCCTTTTCCAGTGGCAAACAGAGGTTAAGTGACTTACCCAAGATCACACATCTAGGACATTTCTAAGGCTGGATTTAAACTCAGGTCTTCCTGATTCCAAGTCCAGTGCTCTATCTTCTGTACCATCTAGTTGCCTCCAGTGAGAGTGTGTGTGTGTATTCTCTCTCAAATAGTTGTCTGTTATTTAATTTGGAATAACCCTATCTTTGAGAAGCAGCATGGCATAATGGATAAAGCATCATCCCCAGTCAGGAAGATTCAAGTTTTTCTGACACATACTGGTTGTTATGTGACCCAAGGCAAGTAAGTCATTTAACCTCAAAATACCTTAAGTCACTTTTTAAGATTAAGTTGCTAAAAAGTTGTTGATATACATTAATAGGTAGGGGGAGTTCCCTATACTATTGAAATCATAAGTCCAATGAAACACACACACCCCTAATCTTATTTGTTTTTTTCATCAGAATTACTAGGATCAGGGGAATGATAATGATGTAATATATCCAGACTTCAGCAAGACAGGTATTTTATAAAACCTCTCAAGATATCCTTGTGCTAGAAGAGAAGATTACTAGTTAGGCTGACAGCAGGTTGAACAGCTGTACCCAAAGAGTGTTGATGGATCAATACCAGTGTGGAGGCTGTCTATCAACATATCTCCAACCCTATCATCAGCTCAGTATTTTGTCAACAACTTGGATACACAGAAACCATGCCTATCAAATTACAGATGATGAATGAGGCTGGGAGGAATACCTAATAAGTTGTCTAACAGAATTAGTATGCAAAAAGATCTCACAGGTAGGTTGAAACTAGTAAGATTCCATGATAGTATACAATTCTCTTCTTTCTTTTCTATTACATAACTGGAAATCTCTATTTTTTAAATGTTTACATTCAGAAAAATTTTTTTAATTCTATAATAAAAGTTAAAATAATGACCTCCTTGTTACTAGATGTGACAGTTCAAGCCCAGTGCCTGGCACATAGCAGACTCTTGATAAATGCTTGGTGATTGATTGACAAGTATTCAGTTTTGATGACCCATCTGTCAGAAATGTTGTAAAGACATTTCTGTCTTGGGTTAGAGGTTGGAATAAACTATCTCTAAGGTTTAGCTGTATGGCCTTGGAAAAATCCTTGGGTCTTAATGTCCTCACCTATAAAACAAAAAGCTTATGCTAGATCATCACGAAGGTTCCTTCTGGATCTAACACTGTAGGATTTTAAGTATTTATGGAGTACTTACTGAATGCCCAGCACCATCCTACCCAATATGGGGGATACAAAACAGTACATATAACACATAGTCTCTACTGTCATAGACGATATGTTCTAGTCAGGGAGAAAAAAGCCTTATTAATGCACAGTGCTAAATTTTATAGGAGTCGCAGTCATGGGCTCACACTCCACCACACCCAGACAATCACAGTTACACAAAATCACAAGATTTCATTCATCTAAACACATGTAAGAAGCAACATGACATATCAAGATCAAGCTTCAAGGCCCAACTCTGATCCACACTAGCTGTGTGACCATAGATAGGTAAGTCACTTAAACTGCCTGTGCCCTGGGGCCATTCCCCAAGTTACTGAGTACTTATCGATCTACATCCTTGGAGATAGTTTCCAGTCTAGTATGAAATCATGTGATCATCCCAGGTGAGACCAAGAAAACAAACACACAGTGAGTTGTTCAAATACACTTAACGGCATTCATTGTCTTCCACAGCTGTAACACAATCACATTCACAGACACACTGCCACATCCATAGTGTCTCACAAGTTGTCAAGCACCTACAAAATCACATCCATGCAAGCCATCACATTCCATCATAAACTATCTTCTCTCTTTCACAGCATCCTCCCAGTCTCCCCTGGGTTCCCAGTTACCTTGAGGAGGTGGGGCAGCTGTTGAGTGGCCAGTTCTTTAAATTCATTGACGTTAAGGCTGCCTTTCTTTCCTTCCCGACCAGCAAAGGTGAAGAAGGTTTTCACCACAGTCTCAATAGCCGCCTCCAACTCTGTCAGTGGCTCAGCAGCCATGGAGAAGGCTAGGGGTGAGGAAGCTTGCTCTTGGACTAACTGTGGATCTTAAAGCTGGTTAAGGAAAAAGGAATATCCAAAGGTAACTTCTAGGGAGGAACCCTGCCCAGGTATTACCTATGCATTCCCCCATCTCTGCTGGACATTCTAGAGCCCTAGAAAGAGACTTGTCCCTGATCCTGTGAGGAGTCTTAGGCTGGGGAGCCCCTCTATTCGGGCTCTTTATGGGGAGGGGAGTGTCTCCCTTTGTGGGCAATCAGGCTGGCAACCTCTGTCTGGGGTCTAGCACTCTGACACACAAGGTTATTTAAAATGTCTATGCCTCGGCTTTTCCTAAGGCATCTTCTTAAAATGCAGTAAGATGTCAGGGTGGTTCAGAGATGCCCTCTTCCCACTCCACCAACTAAGAGACCCGGAATCTGCACCACAAACGACAAAGTTGGTGTCATCTCAACCAGTGTCTTTCAACGCCCCCAAGGAAAACATACGGATGTTTCTCAGTATAAAAGGCAGGAAGATACACACCCTCTCCAGAATCGACAATTCCGAAGTTAAGCTAACGGTAATGGGTCTTGGCTACAGGGCTCCTCTCATCTTTTAAGCTACAGAATTGGAGGCAGGAATTACAAGCTGTCAACTAACGATCTCTCTACAGCCTCCACAGTTTGGTTCTAAGAGGACAAAAGGTTGGGGGAGAAGTTCCTTTTCCAAGACCTCTCTAACTTACATCGGACCCTCCTCCAACTTGTTCATCCCCTTCAAGGACTAGTTCCCCCCACCCCCTCCTTCAGAGCCCCGAAGTCACTTCCTGAATTCCCAGTTCCAGGACTGGGGGGAGGAGCTCATCTTTCTCCTGGGGAAGAGGGCCCCTCATCCACCCAAAAGCAGTAGGTGAAGTAGGTTTGATACTCACCCTCCGGTTTTGCCTCAAGCAGAAGTAGGGATGGGCTGAGGTTTATAAAAGCCCAGGAGGTGGAGCTGGGGAGACAGAGTCCTCTGTGTATATCCCGAGGTATAGAGTTTCCCGTGGTGAACTTCGGCAAAGGGCACGCCCACCCACTCCTCCTCACCCATCAGCGCATCATCAACATTTCGGCACAACCAACTTACACCTCTTTGCCCCTTCCCTGAAGTAAACAAATGGCAAGCCTCACTTTCCTGGTCTCATCCACCCTCCCAGCTCTAGAGATATTAGCTCCCACCCCGAGCTTGTAATATGCGCCTCCAACCTCCTCACTTCGTCCTTTAAATCCCTTCGCTCACTCGCCATCTCACTCTTATCTCCCCCACTCCAACCCCTCAAAAAAGTCCTAATTCGTGCATCCCAGCTAGCTCTTGGTAAAATTAAGGGTAAAGAAGGCACTGTCTTCTAAGGAATTCTAGAGATGAGGCCCTTGGAGGAGTCCCCTTCTTTTGCTGCTCAATAGGGCATGGTGACCATGCCTCGCCGCTATGGACAGTTAGTTACAGGACGGTCCAAGGACCAGAAGGGTTCAACATCCTGTGGTCTCTGATCTTACCTCTTTTTCTTTCCCGCTACTTTATCCTTTCTTGCCCTTTCTGCTCCGTGCCACGGCTGAATTGGCATCAAGAACAACCAAGAACCCCACCGTGGATTGCTAGCATGCATGTGGGGAAAGGAATGTTTTTAAAAAAAAAAAAAAAGCCCAGACCTGGGGGAGGGAGTAAAACAGGGCCAGCTTGTCCCAACCCTGGAGACAGAGGGCGCTTCTGTCTGCCTAGCTGGCTGTTTGCCCCACTGGTTGTCAGCCCGATGAGGGGGTGGAGCTAAAGGTAGGAGGGGGTGTCCAGAGTGGGGAGGACGCCTGAAGAGAGATCTCCACACACCGGCTCTGGTCACAGGACACGCAGCTTCGTCCCTCTCATCTGCTCCCCCTTCAGCCCCGAACCCACCCGTGAGTATTTTGCTTTCTCGGATACAGAGGATGTGCTAACTACAAGGGGGATGGTGGTCTCCAAAAGTCTGGAAATGTTGCTCAGTTGAAGGGGACTATCAGTGAGCAAATAGGGCACTTTGGGGCTCAGTGAAGGGTCCATCCATGGAGGAAGGACCCAGTTCCCTGGGGACTTAAATGGTGGGATGGGATGCCACATTTCTCTCCAAAAGCAAAAGCAATACAGCCCCTTCCTCATAAAATGATCCCTTCTAGCTGAGGAATCCCCAAGATTCCCCCCCTCCATCCTTGGGCCTTCCTAGACCCCAACTCACCTTTCTCTTGGGTTTGAGGTTGGAGGATTGAAACATCTGAGCCCTAGGCCTTTACTCTGCTTTCTCTGGGGTAAATAGCCCTGGCATGAGCCAAGTTTTGACTGGGCAGCTGTTCCCAAGCCCCTGGGAACTAGGGAGGTTGAGATTCCAAAGTAGGAGGACTATTTCTTCACCCCAGGGCCTGAGCCCACTCCCATGCTTTGCCTCAAGTTTCAACCCCTAATAACATCCAAGAACAATAGATGAAAAGTTTCTCTGAGTGGGCACCAAGGTAGGGGGTGGGGGATTCTAGGAAGAGTGTCTCACTCACCTCCCTCTCTACTCAGTAACCCATTGCCTTCTTTTCCCTCTTCTCTTTCTTTCCTAACTTTCTTGCTTCTTCCCCTCCTTCCTCTGGCATTTTTCAACGCTACCATCTATAAAGTCTCTACTGAGCTGACACCTTTCAGAGACACCACATATCACACTGTACTCTTCGAGACTTCCCAAAGGGTCCATGGGCGTGTCTGTGGGGGAAAACCCAAGGTTCCTTTGGCTCCTCAGGACCTCCACATCAGTGATCACTGATGGGGCTTGTAATAGGAGATGCCAGCCCCCCTTCCCCTTATCCCCGCATCAGACCCACAGGCTTCAGGTTCCCATTCCACACACCCTCCCCCTCCCTTGGTCTCTGTGACAACCACCTCTTATGTCCAAAGTTCGGGTGACACTCACAAGGGATCCATTGAGGAGCTGGAGTGTCATCCGATAGGACCCATTGTCCATCCCCCCCAGTCCTGGGGAAAGAGGTGAGAGATACCTGATCTAGGACACCTGAGATCCCCTCTAAGGATGGGGGGGAGGGGAGAGCAGGGGGTAAGTGGTGCTGTTTACTCCCAGAGCAGATGAGTGTCCTGGGTTTTGAAGCCCCTTTCCAATGTTATACTCCACTATAACCTCACACATCATTTTCCTTCCTCCCTTCTAATAATTCCTTGCACCTTGCCTCAGATGAAACCTCAGGCGTACAATTCCCTGTCACTTCTGATCACCTCAACTACACTCCCATCTACTCTTCCACTTCTCAAGTTCAAGCTGCTGGTGGGAAACAGGAGATTTCGTTTCCCCACCCCCACCACACTCTGGAGCCCAACTCTGGGGGATAAGGATCAAACATTCCTTTCTCCATCCCCACCATCCAAGTCTGATTAGAAGGAGTTGGTTCTCAAGGCAGACTTCAGTCTGACGAATCCTAAAGCACAGAAGGTGGGGGCAGGGGGCAACTAAAGGAACTAAAAGGAGGGAGCATACTAGAGAAGTCAGACGGATGAGAGTAGGGGGCTGAGAACCCCTGGGCAGAGGGAGAATTGAGGGGCATCAACTATAAGAAATTAGGAAAAAGCATGAGTATGACTCTGCATGAGTGGTCTTTCATCCCTAGCTCCCCTTTGTTCTCAGTTCGGAGAGGGCAGGGATAGTTACAGAAGAAACACCCTACCCTGGCCAGGCCATGCTAGGCCTGTGATAAAAATAGGACAGGAGAAAGACTTGTGGGTTCCTAAGACCCACCCTCATTCCCAGGGGCAGCTGCCTGGTGAGCAAGATGTCCTTTTTGTCCATCTAGCAATGAATTCCTCTTGCTTCCTGGTGCTGCCCAGTGTTCCCTGTTTCTACCCCTCTCTCTGGTGTACCCCAAATACCCCCGATTCTGGAGCCCCCTGAGCTCCTGCCCTTCTACCTCCCCTCTATTTCTTGCCCTGTCCCTACCTCTAGTCCCCTGTTTCTTTCCTTCCAGTAATTCCCTAGCCTTGAGCCTTCAACCTCCACCCCTTTCTCTGAACTTTTACTTTGGTTTTTAAACCATCATGTGCTAGAAAGAAGCCAAGGAAATCTGGGTTCTAGTTGAAGCTCTGTACTAACCCAATATGTGTTCTTGGGCAAGTCATTTCTCCTTGCTAGTCCTCAGTTTACTCATCTGTAAAATTAGGGAATTGGAATCCATCCCTAAGATCCCTTACCTGAGGCCTATGATGCTTTAAAAAAAAATAAGGGCTGAATTAATCAGTTCTTTTGGCTTCTGTTAACTAAGAATAATAAATGAGCAGGTAAAATGTCAATTAAAAGGATAAATAATTAATAATATTGAATATGGTCCTAGAGAATAGAATCCACATCATGAAGGATGGAGTCCAAATTATTTATATATGCATTACAATACAAGGGCTTTAGGAGCTCAGGGCTCTCTTCTTTCCAGCAGCCCTGGACCTTGATCCCTGTCCCCTATCTCAACCTCACCCTCCTCTGGCCTGGTGGGGGGTGGTGGGAGGTAGGTGTGTTGCAGCCATGGGCTCAGAGCTGGAGACTGCCATGGAATCCCTCATCAACGTATTCCACGCGCATTCTGGCAAGGAAGGTGATAAGTATAAACTGAGCAAGAAGGAGCTGAAGGAACTACTGCAGGCTGAGCTTTCTGGCTTCCTTGATGTAAGTGTTTGGTGGCTGGGGGTGGGGGGGCCGCTGGCGGAGGGAGAGTGCCCTAGGGCTCCGGACCTTAGAGCCAGCTACTGGACTCAGACTGAATGGGAAGCAGCTACCTTTCCCAGTGACTTCTACATTTCTCTTCTATCATGTTCCCAATCCCCATCCCAGTTCCTTCCTCTATCCCTTGAAGGCCTCCCAGAAACTCTCTTAATTAATTTAAATAAATTCAACAAACATTTATTACGGGCCAATTACATGCAAAACACTGTGATAGGCATTGGGAAACCTAAAGATGAATCCCATTGCCCAGTTCGTAAGGAGTTCGCCCTTTAAGTTGACTGAGGATCTCATTAATTACATGAAGAAAGATACAAAGTAGTCCAAGTTCCAGTCCAGCCCAGTTTTCCCTTCCCATCCCACTCACACCCCGCTCACCTTCCTCCCCATCTCCCCGTCTCTTGCCCCTCTAAATTCCAATACATTTGCCTGGTTCTTTTTATTCCCAGTTTCTTCCATGCCTGTCCTAGTCACCCTCCACAGTCTGGCTCTAGTTCCCGTTAGCCCTTCCTCCCATTCCTTCATGCTCCCTAAAGCCTTCCCAGCTCTCTATCACAGAAACCTCCTCCTGTCTTATTTTAGACCCAGAAGGATGCAGATGCAGTGGACAAGGTGATGAAGGAGCTGGATGAGAACGGAGATGGGGAAGTTGACTTCCAGGAGTATGTGGTGCTGGTGGCTGCACTCACTGTGGCCTGCAACAGCTTCTTCTGGGAAAACAGTTGAGCAAGCAGCCCAGCCCTGGCCAGCACCCATAACCCCTTTCCCCGCCTTTCCCACCTTCACTTTCCACATTAGCCCTTCCTCTACCCTCAGACTCCCCCAGTTCACTGTCCCAGGCTTGGCCATAGCATTTCTGGTGTACTGCTCCATTATACATTAAAGGCTTCTCTCCCAAAAGCTGTGGTGTCAGTCTCCTTTAGGGTTTAGTGAAGAAGAGGTGCTAACTCTCCCTCAGGGCAATTATTAGAAGGGGTCATGACTCTCCTGAAAATTCCTGTTTCTAGGATGCTGTAGGAATCTGGGGATTGGGTATTTTGGGTTCCAGACTGATGGGGGTTAGAGTTGTATAGCACAACCTCAGTGTGCCTCTTTTCTCCCTTTGAAAGGTGGAAAGGGGAGGAACTCTCTTTCCAAAAAGTAATAAGATTCTAAGACAAGATAGGCATGGAGGGCTGATCAAACCAACTGAGTCTCCCTCCCACCTCACCAGAATGTAATCTAAATTGAGGGGAGGTGTTAACGAGGTAAAGCTGTTATCCCTTCAAGAAGATGAAGAGGGGTAGATGCCCAAAAATTATTTAGGATAATAAGATCTAGATTGAGACTTTTTAAATATTTTTAATTCAGGAGTTCTTTTTGTTAACTTTTTGTGTGTCAAGGACGAGTTTGGCAGTCTGGCGCCAGGCACTTAATAAATGTTTATTGATTGACTGGTGAAGCTTATGGACCCCCTCCTCGGAATACTTCTAAGTGCATAAAATGCATAAGATTACAAAAGAAACAATTTATATTGAAATAGTTATCAAAATATTTTTAAAAACAAGTTATGAACCTCAGGTTAAGAGACTACCTCCTCTAGTTCAACTATCATTTCACAGATGATGAAACTGAGTCTCAATAAAACGGGTGCCTAGTGACAGGTCAAGAGTTGAAAACGTATAACAACTACTACACCTTTTGGATTAAACCTCAATTTGGTACTGGTTACACTGTAACATCCCCTATTACAGCCTGGAAGTGTACAAGTTAAAGGACAAGTAACAATTGACAGAAAAGCTGGGATTCGCTGGGGTTCAGTGGCGGTAGGATAGGCAGGGAATGACGCAAAGTTTAGGATCCAGGTTTACTGCTGCCACCTGCTCTCACCCTGGGTCAGAGAGATTTAGGAATGCACTGGAAGCAAGTGCCTGCCAGAGCCCAGAATTTCAGGGTTTGATGGGCACACGTTCTCCAGCGTACATAAACGCCCACCGGGAATACGCTTTGTAAACTCTGGGTCTACAAAAGCACCAAATACTCACTCAATGAACCTCATCCCTGGGCACCGCATGTGTTATCAACTATACGGGGGGGAGGGGGGGACGGGGGACGGGGGGGGGGAGAAGCCCACAAAAGCCCCGCCCCTCGCGACAAGCGCCGGCCTCACGTCAACGCGCCGGCGCCATTTTGGCCAGCGCCATTCGACTGAGCGTGGCGGCCATTTTGTTCGGGTCGCCAAGCGTGAGTTGGTTGCGGCAGCGGGCGGCAGGGCAGACTGAAGGAAGAACGGACTCCAGGACCCAACAGCTAACCGGTCACGCAAGCAAGTAACTACCCTCCGTCTCAGCCCAGCACCTCCGCCCGCCCCAGACCAGCCCAGCGCGGCCGGTCTCCGGCCCCACATCTGCAACCGCAGTGGCAGCGGCGGCCCCCGGCGGAGCGCTGGCGTCCGTGTCCTTTGGTGCGTGTGCGCGTGCGCGGCCTAGTCTGGGGCCAGAGGTGGGGGATGGGTGAAAAAAAGCATTTGGTGGGGGGGAACGTGAAGAGGAAGGGGTAAGGTGGGGAGAAGAGAGGGAACGATTAAAGGGGGGGAGGGGAGCGACCGCGGATGGGGGGGCGCCTATCACGTGACTGGGATGCGCTGCGGGGGCAGGGCGGCGAGGCGGGCTCGTGAGGGAGGAGAACGACAGGGGGCGAGCGAGCGAGGGAGGAGGAGAGCGTTTGAGGGGGACCCTGGGCCCGGAGAGGCAGAGGCTGGGGAGGAGGGAGGAGCAGCCGAGGAATGACGGGGGTTGGGGCGAGGGGACCAAGAGAAAGGGACGGCGGGGGCAGGGATCGGAGGAGAGACTGAGGTAGAAAAAAGGGAGATAAAAGGTTTAGGCCGGAAACTTTGAGAGAAAAGTAGGGGCGGGATGGATGCTTTAGTACACAGTGGTGGATTCCCAAATGTTAGTTGAATTTGAATAGGTGGTTGGTTTGGGGTACCAGGACTCCATGGGCACGAAAGGAGATCAGAGCGATTCTGAACAAGACCAGGATGGAAGCTTTAGGGTGCCGTTATGTAAAGGGCACGCTGGGAAACCGCTTAGAGGCAAGGCATTTTCCCAACTATCATACTCCCTCTCTCAGAAAAGTCTATTTAGTACCCATCTTGGTCATAATCGGTATCCAGCTTGTCTTCAGACCAGCCAAAAGCCAGATGTTGAGGCATTTGCTTAGTGGCGTCACCACTACTGGATTCTCCTGGGGGGGGGAGGGTTGAGGCGGCAGCTAGGCAGCACTTAGTAATTTTATATTGGGAGGGCCACTTTGTATTCTGTGGCTTTGCTGGGAGCTCCTGGTTTGTATCACGTACTCTCCTCCTTTAAAATGACCACTGATTTTTAGTTAGCAAGATCTTAATACCTCTCCTAACTGCTGTTTGTGCCTGTCCCTTATAAGGATGAAAGATAGTGTCATCTTTATTGTTTTGCTTAATCTGCCTGTTATCCTTTACAGATTCCCGGGATTTGAAGATGGCTGCACAGTCAGCTCCGAAAGTTGTGCTAAAAAGCACCACCAAGATGTCTCTTAATGAGCGGTGAGGCAGCCAACAGAAACTTCAGCTCCTACATAAGAAAACTTTACTTAAATTGGCCCCGGGGTCCAATATACTAAAACCATCTTGGTTTCTGCCCAGTTTTTAAGTTAAAGCTAACTTAAATATCAACAGAAGGCTAAAGACCTCTGTTCTTAAGTTGCTGCATACTGTGGTACGCAAAACGAATTGGGCAATGTTTCAAAACCCATTATCAGTAGCTGTTTACATTAAAGTATATGAACCGTTAATCTGGTGGGATGTGTTTTAACTTAAAACACTTCACACCCTCCCTTTTCTTCATGTTTTTTACATTGATATAGGGGATGCTGCAGCACGGTAGCATGTTACCCTGGCTGTAGGAGGCTTGCTGCCCAGTCCGAGGCCGACAGGATTGTGGTCCGGCCTGTAAGAGGCAGGTAGCAGGCCAAAACTCAGCCCAAAGGCCCTTGAATGCTATTCTTGGGCCTTGTAAGAGGCACCCTCTTTGCTTCATCTCTGCATCTTTCAGTACTGCTTTAGGCTTTGTTTTAACTTCCTTTTCTGTTAAATGTTCCTCTCTGTTCCATTGAGCTTTCATAGATGAGACTCATTGGAGAGTCATCACATTCTTAATCTAAGTTGTTTCGCTAATGCATGACATTTTCAGGAAGACTCACTTGGGGTAATTAGAAGGCATGTCATTTAAGTGTAGGAAAGTAAAAGTGTTAAAATGTAACACCATAAAGATTTCTGTGTTAAATTTTTTAATGTGGTTCCTTTAATTAAATGGAAGGTAAATAACAGTGTAAAATATAGCAAACTAGTAGGGAATTTTTTTAAACTGTTATTAAGTTTAATATTCACAGTGAGAGGCAAGCATTATGTAGTAGATAGAGAACAGACTTTGGGATGGAAAAGATCCAAATTCAGGTCTTACTTCTGACATTCTGACTATAACCCTGGACAAGTAATTTAATTTCAGTGCCCCAGGGCAACTCTCTTATGACTTGTAAGGCAGAAGTAAACCTGCTTTGTTAGAGGGCATCTCCTTACTGATAGCTGTCTATATAGATGGAATCATTAAGTCCAGGCCAGAAGAAAAAAATGTTCAACATGAAGGCCCATCTGGGTGTGGGTAGATAGATAGAAAGACCATCTGGGAGTCAGGAAAGCCTGAGTTCAAGTTGCTACTGACTGTGTGACCTTAGGTCAATTAACCTCCCAGGATTCTCAACAATTCTGTGAGAAGGGGGTCCTGCCTTTAAAAGTCAGACCTCATTCGAATCCCGCCTCAGCAGCTTAGTAATTGTGGGACCTTAAGCAAGTCACTAATTATCCTATCTGGGCCCCAGTTCCTCCTCTGTAAAATGAGGCAGTTGAAATAGATTGGCCTCTGAGATCTCCAGGATCCTGAGTTTCACAGTAAATGCCATTCTATATTGGTAAAGGGTCTTTACCCACTGGGTTTCATATACTGATGAAATCACAGGTGCAGGAGCTCTCCCCTAAAAACATTTTCACCATATGCCCTAGATTCTGTTTTAGTTCATGGCATGTGGTGAGATTAGAAAATCTTATGACTGTTCTTTACATGTAACTAGATTGACAGAGACAATGGGAGAACTTGATACACTCCTCTGTTGATATGGAGGCATCATTTCCATGGACTTTGGAGGGTGCCGTAATGGTTCTCCATTCACCTGTAAGGTGCACCTCAGACCAGTTCCCTCTAAAATTACTTGTCTGATTTACCCCACCCCAGGGTATTTGTTTTGTCCTATTCTGATTCTTTGTAACATCTTCTGTTTCCTGTCATCACCATATCTGCTTGTTGCGTGTTTTTCATTCCTTCCACTTTTCTAAAAGCAGTAACCTAAGCCCTTGTTATCACTTTTGAATGAATGTACTGCACTTACCTGCATTTCTAAGTTTCTGATTCTTGCACGTTTGTGGAAACAGAGGAGTCCTTGACCCACATCAGCCTTGATCTAAGCGTACCACTTTACATAAAGTTCGTGGGATCTGGAGCTCCTGGTCTAGAGAGCCATGAAAATGCCAATAAATGTTTTGTAATAAAGCTTTTATTTAAACACCCATTTTGTTCGACCTTGAAGCTTTACTAATATGCTGAAGAACAAACAGCCGATGCCAGTGAATATTCGGGCTACGATGCAGCAGCAACAGCAGCTAGCCAGTGCCAGAAACAGAAGACTGGCCCAGCAGATGGAGAATAGACCCTCTGTCCAGGCAGCATTGAAACTTAAGCAGGTGAGAGAGTAGGTCATAATCCTCCAGAGGCAGCTGGTGATGCCTGTCAAGCAGCCCTACTGATGGCTATGCAGGATATGGTGGATTATTACAAGGTGGCTCAGGGTAAGAGCTGAGGATTTTCTGGAAGGAAAAAGGAGTTTGGAGCATTTTATTTTGGTTGATGAGCACAAATAAGTAACCTGCTGCCTTTCTCTTTGGGGAGTTGCAGTTTAGTGTGGCCTGGATCATGTTATAGGTACTAGTGTGTCTGTACCTTTTCTAGGACTTCCTCAAGAAACCTAGTAATTAATTTCTTGGCATCTCATACTTCCCCTTTATTCTCTCATTGTTAAGGAGGTAATTGTTAAAGAATCTAAAAGCTAGGAAAATAAGCTTTTTCTCTCTCCCCCCCATCTAGAAATTCTGGATAGCCTTAATTTATTTGTATTGACGATGCTAAGTAACTTGGGGGAAAAAGTGGCTTTAGAACTAGTGAAGGAAGCCACTCCCCAAAATATCTGTTATATCTAGAAGAAAACAAGAAGTCTGAGTATATGATTAGAGAAGATTATGGTTTTCAACCCAAATTTCCAATAAGGCACAATCCATATTTCCACCTAGGTCTGAAGTAAACCCTGCTCTTTATTATTCATAGACTGTGTATGCAAGTCCGGAGAGTGGCTGTGGAAGGATATGTCCAAGCTGTGGCTGGCAGTCTGGAGGCCGGTGCCATGCAACTGTAAGGACTTTAAATGGGAGCACTGCATGGCTGTGCTTAGATTTAGTTAAATATAACACACTCTGAACCACTGGGCTCACTGGCCAAAAATAAACAAAAGCTTTCAGCTTCAGCTACCATAGAGTGGCTAAAATATTTTATTATTAAAAAAAATATATGGTAGGTACCCCCAGCTTCTTCAAAGAGTTCAAAATGAGGATAAGTTCCTGTAGATAAGAATCTCTAGGTCTTTTCTGAAGAATGGTTACGAGTAAAGTCTGTGTGGAAAATTTGCCTCCAGAAACTTAAACAGTGTTAATTGATGCATTGTCACTATAAATGTTTAGGGATCAGTAGTGATAGCAGGAAAAAACTAGGGCTTTTGCTGTGAGAAAAACATCCCTGATCCCTGTGTGATGGTTAATGTGACTTGTGGAATGGAATCCTGACCTCGCGCCTGTGATGTGTCTTTTTAAAGAAAAGGAACAGTATAGACAGACCTTTACAGTCATGGCTCATCTTATAGTAGGGTATACAGTGCATCAAAGCCTACTTCATTGGTTAGAAATAGAATTTACATTCACATTTGATCTTGTCACACTGGGAAATTTGTGTAACAGTCAGCCTGTTAAAATACAGACTGAGAGGTTCATCACCAGCATATTTTCTAATGACTAGGAAGGAAAAGGTGACTACTGTTGATGGTAACTTAAAGCAAGGGTTTGTGCATGTTGGTATTAGTGATTTTACAGAATGAGAAGACGTTTACCAGGCCTCTGGTTTTCCTGAAGGCTACACCTGATCTCATTTGTGAGGGGACATTTTTCTCTCTTGAGAAGTGCTACCTTTTGCATTCCAGTGGGTTCACCTTGGAAGGAAGGCTCTGTGGAATCTTCACACCTAGTATAGACTAAGTCAGTAATTGTATTGACTTAAAGATGGAAATATTTAAGGTTAGTTGTTTGTTTTGTACTAAAAATGATTAGTAACAATGGTACCTATTGGGGAAAATAGATGTGGAGTCATGAATTTATGAAATTTAAGGTTCAAGAGCTTATAACTTCATGTTTATTCGTCAAATCTTAAGGTAAAGGAAGAGACATCTGCAGATGTAACCCTGAGAGTGAATGGAAGGACCACATTTCAAGCAAGAAAATCAGATGAGGTGTTAACTATCCACAACTCAGATAAATTTGTCTTTTAAATTTTGACAAAAGATAAATGAAGATTATAATTCTCAGATCAGAATTCCCAGTTGTGGAAGGTAGAATTGTTGGTTTAGGTTTACGTCGTGTTTTGTCGGTATGATTAGTCATGTCAGCAAGGTGCAGTGGAAAATGTTGGATTTGAACCCAGGTGACCTGCATTCAAAATCTAGCTCTCTACTTAACTGTGAGACCTGAAGCCATTCAGCTCTTAGGGTCTTTAAGTTTCTTTATCTGTGAAATGCAGGAATTGGACCAGGTGACCTCTAAAGTCCCAGTTCTGAATCTGTGATCTTATGATTTACGTGAGGATTCCTTTACAGCAATCATAATCAAAAGTGGAAAAACAACCAGCAAAATCCAGGATTTGAAGATAGAACTTAAAAGTCTGAAGAGATTTTGGGGTGTGGTGACAGAATTCAAAGCATATTCAGGTAGTTTGTAGTGCTTTCCAAAATCAGGACCAAACCCGAGCTTCTTACAGTGTTGTAGGCAAAACTCAGCTTCTTTCTCCTCCTGAGGCAAGTACTAGCCTTTTCTGGATGGCTGTCCTTAGGGTACTCACTGCAGGGCTCTCTCTTGCAAGGCATCTCACTTGCTTCTCTGTGCACTATGAATCTCCATCCCTGCTGGACTGTTTCCTGATCTTAACCTCTTCAAAACTTTCCTTTCAGAAGAGCTTAAAACAACGTCTAGGTAAAAGTAACATCCAGGCACGGTTAGGCCGCCCCACTGGCCCCCTGGCCAGGGGAGCAGTTGGAGGACGGGGTTTGCCCATGGGCCAGAGAGGCTTGCCACGAGGAGGACTTCGTGGAGGACGTGCTACAAGAGTCCTGCTAAGAGGAGGGATGTCTCTTCGAGGTCAGTCGTTAAAATCCATTATGCCATGCCTCTCTTCCTCTTTCCTTCATGTTACTTAAAGTCATATAACTTTTAAGTCCGGCTGCAAAGCTTATGTTTTAAGATCACTTGTTTTTAATCATATGCAATGTTCTTTAGTAGATCCATATCTTTTCTGATATACAGATTGTGGTGAAAGGCTTTGATTTGCATAAGATATCGATCTTCCCTGTGCCATTTGAATGTAACTTGCCACCCTCCTCATTCACTAAAAAATAGTTCATGTTTGCTTAAACCTATGAGGTATATAAAGTTCTGTTGGGCCAGAGCTCATAAGATAGGCCAGCTTCTTCTATGTGTATTGTGTGTTGTACTCTGGTATACGTGTTTAGAGAACTTTTAAAATCAATATTGATGAACATAGTACTGTTTTACACTTAATCAGGTGCTTGCAGATACTTTGTATATGAATTGTCCCTAACAAGATTGTAAGCTCCTTGAAGGTAAAGATAGTTAACCATTTTATTTTAATTCACCAGAATCTTAGGGGCACGTAGGAGGAGCTCAATATATACTTGTTGAAATTACCACATGAAGAGCAAATTTCTAGTTAAGCACTCACACTCCCAGTGTAGACTTGCCCTGGCCAACCTGGAAAGTGTCCAAATTACTCCCATTTAAACCTCACCACCTTTCCCTGGTTGGGATTTAAACTATATATCTTGAATTTACCTGCATGTGCATTGTGTCTCCCCTCTCCAAGGTCAAAACCTGCTCCGAGGTGGACGAGGCGTAGCTCCCCGAATGGGATTAAGAAGAGGTGGTGTCCGAGGTCGTGGAGGCCCTGGGAGAGGGGGCCTAGGGCGAGGAGCAATGGGCCGTGGAGGAATCGGTGGTAGAGGTTAGTCAGCTGCCATCTTCAGAGAGTTTCTCCCCAAAAAACTTAGGCACACATCTTCTTGCACAGCTTTGTCATCAGCAGGGTTTAGAAAGAGGAGGGGGAAACTTGTAAACAAATTCATAAAATGGAACCTGTGCCATTATGTAGAGGTTTCTTTGAGGATTTTTCCAAAGGTTGATTAGGCATGTAAAACAGTTTTTAAATATAAATTCCATCAGCCTGAATTGCTAGTAGTTTCTTTTCAGGTTCTCATTATAGTTGACCCAAATAAGAAGTATTAAATTCAACCAATATTTATTGAGCTCCTACTATGTGCAGGATTGAGCAGGTGGTGATGATGAGCAACATCAAGAACCTTTGGGCCACTGGGCAGCAATATCTGGAACTTAAACTTAGTTCTGAAATCACCAAATATCAAGATAGAACTGGAACCTGTGGGGAACCCTGATACTAAAGTCCTTTATTGGCCAGAGTATTCACATGTGATGGTTTGGCATGTGCAGGAATGAAGTTAGTATTTTACTGCTGATTCCTAGCTTTTGATCAGATTTTGAAATTATTTGTTCTACCCTACCTATGCAACCTTTAGTGTTTGCCTGATGACCTTTTGACCCAGAGAAAGTGCCAGAACTGGTAAGAGCTTTAAACTTTCCAGGCCAAGGAAGAAAATTCCCAATGTATGAACTACTGTTGGCATAACTTAGGCCCATGGTACCTTAAGGTCACTGTTTAGGTCTTCTATAATTTAAGACCCAAGGCTTTTAGAGAATGAAATTTAATGCCTTGGGTTGTCTGTATTTTCATTGTGTACCTTCTGGTTTGTTGAGTAAATGCTAACTAAATTTGGGTTGCAGGATGAAATTGCATGTTGCCAAACCATTTTAGAACTGATTCCCAAGATTCCCAGGGGTTAAGACTGAAGTGGTGGCTATTTTGAGTGAATTGGAACTTTCTTAGTGAACACTAAATAAATGATTAATCGCTTATTAGCATAAGTATGACTAGTGCCTACAGTGTGGGATGTATTGACAGCTGGGATTACTTATTGGTTCCTTTCTGATCTCCCCACACAGTTCCTGTGTCAAACTACACACAGGACAGTAGAGAAATGGCTTCTGAGAACACCAAGCCTCATGGAGGTATTCTATAATATATATTGCCAAACTGAAGAATGGTCTGGTTTGAATGTGCAAAAAGAAAAATGGAAGTGCAATTCAGATTGTTTATTCAGAGGTAGTAGTGATGAATTTGCAAAGCATCTCAAGGCTATTTCATGTCTTTTCAGATCCATTCATTTAATATCGTTCCACTAGATCATGAGATGTCAACAGGTTTCTAGTTTTAATTAAAGTACCAATCATGGAAAAGAGGAGTAGGGCAATGAAAATGTAAAATTCAGTTTAAAAAAATTCTTCAACCATAAGGTAATGGATAGAATCATGCTGAAGAAAGTGTTATGACAACTTTATCCAGTACATCTTTTCCTTATTGTTTCAAAAGATTGACTACATACTCTTCCTAAATTGCTTACTGCCTAGAGTGTTCATTTTGATCAGAATAATTTTTTAAAAAATTTATGTTCCTTCATTTTTATCTGTTAAGAGTCCCCTTATCGGCATGTAGTAAGCAGCCTGAAAGCCTCAGCTTAAACATATTAACTCTTTTCCTTTCCCTGGGTCAGGTCGAGGCATGGTAGGCCGAGGACGAGGGGGCTTTGGCGGTCGAGGTAGAGGTCGGGGACGAGGTAGAGGTTCTGCCCGACCTGCACTGACCAAGGAGCAGCTTGACAACCAATTGGATGCATATATGTCGAAAACAAAAGGACACCTGGATGCTGAGCTTGACGCATACATGGCTCAGACAGACCCTGAGACCAATGATTGAGGCCAGCCTTCCTGTCAGAGACTATTCTTCAAGTTCATAATGTCTGTACAAACCCTGAGCTAACAAATGAGAAGACCTGACAGATGCTGGAAAGATCTTATCATACTAGGTTGTGGACTTTATTCAACCACCAGTTCATACATTTTGTGTGTTCCTTTACTTTTTGATACTGTGTTGGATGAAATGTTTGTCGTTTTGTTTTTTAATTGGTTTTATATTTTTTTTTCTGTACTCCTCTCTGAACTTGAATGTGACTGCCTGGTGACTGGAATGCCTTCTCCCTCACTTCACTCACATATGCACTGACATGCTGATGCTGTCCCCATTCAGCCTTCAGGCTTTGAACTAAGGTCCTAAAGAATAATATAGCACAAACCTCACATTTGAAGCTCCTCCGTAGTACAGAGGTTTTGAAGAGAGGGCTATGAAAGAATTGGTGATCGTTCTGTTCTTTAAAAAGAAAAAACTTTAAGAAATCTGGGGACAGAAGACACATTTGGACACACTGCAGTAAATGGGGGGGGGAAGCTGGTTTGTTACCTTGGGGGCCAGGTAACAATCTTGTTCAAATTACCAGTGGTAATCAAGTTTTTACCATGCAAGACCATACCTCACATAGATCAAGGTGTTATCTGTAGTAATAAGCCACCTTACTTGATACATAAGCTTTCCCACTGCACTTTGTATCATGAACAAAATGGGTAATATTGGTCAAGCTGTTTACCTGCAACAAAGAAGAGAGGCTGTTTGGCAGATTCTTAAGAGGGGAGAGGAGTGAGAGAATTATGGCAGGGTAACTGCCAGGTGGGTTCTGAGAACGCCTTAGAAGTGCTATTATCTTTATTTGTTAAAAACCAAACAGTTTTCAGTCTAGAACATCTTTGGATTTTACCACCCACATTGGCTTTGCTTATCTCTTCTTTCTTTCCCTTGAAGTTTTAAAGTTCAATCATACCTTTGTCAGCTGTTCCAGTTTCAATAGAATCTTGTATTTCTGGTTCATTGTAACAAAGAAGAAACCATTCTCAAATCCAACCAGGCCTTTGACCTTTTCTTTCTGGGTTCATTTGAAACTTCACAGTCATTCCAGCTAAGTGTTCTACCAGTATGCTTTTCTTCCTGGGTAGATGATAGACCTTGAAATGAAAAGGTAGTGACCCTAATAGTTTTCTCCATGTTGACTATCTCTTGCTTTTACTCTGTTTTTCCACCAGGGGGAGCAATTTCTCCCCAAAATCACTTGTAGCCATGGTTTGAAGCCTTGAGTAAAGGTACTCCAAAGGGGGGGGTGTTTATCATCTAGTTTTTGGAGATGGCGTAGATCAGCTGTTTGATGTAACTAATGTTGCACAATTTTGTGAAATTAGGAAGACCACCTTGCTATTCCTATCTCTGTAGTTAACCCTTCATTTTCTTTACCCTCTACTGTTTTAAGAGGATGATAAAGGTTCCAGTTAGGGCAGATTATACCAGCACCTAGAGCCCCCTGGGGTCTTTTGGCACTTTTTCAGTGACTGGCTCTAGGCCCTGAAAGCTTTTCCCATTGCCAGTGGTTTAATGCACTGGGGCTAGAATTCACCTAGATTAGATTCTGTTTATACTATAAACAAAAGCAAGGTCAGGCTGGGTGGGTCTTTCCCTAGATCATGGAGCACAAACCCCAAAGATTAATCTCATCTATCAGCCTTGTCCTTCATAGACTGACAATGACCTATAGGGACTGGGCTTGAATGAGGAAATAGGAAAAACTTCAATCCTAGTTTAATAGTTGGTTGTTAATATAATAGAAAAAGAATTACTTCTCTCCCACGGTTTGGGGACCAGCAGTTTTTGCATCCCAGGATCTAGATTCTCCAGGGTGGGGAGTGCCCTGGACTGGAAGGCAGCAGCCACTGGAGGTGTGAGTGGGAGCAAAAGTGAGGTGAGAGTCATGTACCCTAGAGGGTGGGGCAGGGATTACTGTGTTTGGAGAGGAGCTGAGGGGTGAAAAACTGGAAAATGAAAACCAATGAAGTTGTAAAGGGGCACTAGGGATAAAGTAAGATTTGGGCCAAAGTGGGTGATAAATCCCCTTCCCTGGTACGGTATGTGACTATGCCGCTGCCTACCTCCTATGTCCCAGCCCAGATGAGGCATTAGGGATTCCTGCCTTGTATTATGTATGACCTGCACTGCCATTGGCAATCTGGGGAAAGCGAAGGTTTTTGCCAGGTGAGTTGTTAAGAGCCTGTTGAGGAAACTTCAGGAGCAGTGGAGTGAACTGGACAGACCACTCACTGAAGTCACGTCCTGTGGAGCCCAGGTCAGTCTATGCATCACTATCCGATGTACACAGGACAGTAGGCTGCTGGTACTGAGAGAATGGTGTTCAGGCAGTCATGACTAGTTTCCCTGGGATGCTAACATCTAGGTGTGCAGATAATTTACTCCATCCCCAATAGCCTCTCCCCTATATCTCCAAACCTGAAGCATCTCCAGGTTCCTGAAGTCATCACTCTTAACATATCCTCCAAAAACCTAAGATCTGAATGAACTTTCACATCCCTGGTCCCCAGGGCTGATAAGTGAGCAGCCCTAAGAATAAAGTGAAGCACCCAGGTTAAGGAAAGGTAGCTAAGATAGCCTGGAGAAGGTGTAGGGAGCCTCACTTGAGCCAGTGATTCAGCAGCTGTTGAGTCGAGCCCTAAGCTGGAGTCTTGATGTCAGCGACTGGTATTGGAGACGGAGAAGGACCTGCCAAATGCTCACATCCCCAAACCTTCCCAGCCTCCTGCCTTCCTTTGGTGAGAGGAGTAAGCACATATTAAGCACTGACCTCCCTCAAGTGGAGCTGAAGTCTGGAATCCAGTTACTTCTCTCATATTGGAAGACAGAGATTGTGAAGTGAGGGTGGGTGGAGGAGTTGTAATGGACAGTATTGCACCGAGTAACTGACCATCACCAAAGGAGGGGTGGCATTTAGAAGCAGGGGGACTGGTGAGTATCATCTTTTCCATCCTTGGAAAGGGAAAGCCCATGGTTCTTGGGCCTTATTGTTGAGGAGGAAGAGAAGTTGGTAGCCAAGTTATCTGGGTCTTATGGGAATGACATAGTCCTGGTCTACCTTAAGGGTTCTCTTGTCTCTCCAGCCCACTCCCCAAGATTTTTGATATCTCCTCTCTTGCTTTGTCAGTACTATACTCCTTCCAACACTGGTTTTGTGACCCTGCTCCTAATTTTCCTTACATTGTTCATTCTCAATGTCCTGGTTCTGCCTGTTTCCACACACTTTTTGACTGGGGCTGATACCCATTGCACAGCCCCCTCCTCTAATCATAGCCCTATTCCTATCCTGATAACATGTTGTCTATATAGTCCCTCAAGTGGCTGGCTAGAAGGGCCTACTCCAAGTCCTGTATACACTGCTATGATGCTGGCCAGACTCAGCAGAAGGAGTTAAGGCCAGTTTGGTTCCACCAATTTGCCTTTCACCTCAAACATGATAGCGTCTGTGTCAGCCCCTACCGCTATGAGCAAGACACAGGCCCAACCCATGGTCAGGGAGCATAGAGGGCATGTAGAACTATGTAACTTAAGGAAGAATAGGCAGAGAGGGCATAGTAATAAAGCCAGGGTCCATGAAGGAATCAATGGGCAGGGTAGAGAAAGCGAAGATCCACGGGACAGCCTGTGGAAAAGGTGCTAGATGAAGTTATGGTCCGTGGGTAGAGCTAAAGGAATCTTGGGGTTCAAGTTGTGGGAGGGGGAGTACAGTTAGAGCTCCAAGGGATCAGGGTTCATTAAGGGATACCAGATGATTCTCATTTTAAATCTGGGTTGTGAATTTCAGGGGGTGCAGTGACCTGAGAGGAACAATGAAGATCCATGGGTCATGGAACACAACCCCCTCTCTTCATTTCCCTCAGGTCTGAGTGTTTAGAACTCAATAAAGACAACTAGTCTCTCCATAGCATTCCCATGTTCTCCAGGCACCAGATGCCTTCCCACACCAACAAGAAAAAGACTGGTCATCTCAAGGGAAAATGGGGTGACTACAAATGTCCTGGGTCTCTTCCCTCTCCCGCTCCTCCAGATACTTTTTGGTGAAAGAAGAGTATATCCCAGATATCAGGGGATATCCATCACAACAACCAGCACCCCCGAAGATCCCCAAGCCACCATGAACACCTTGGGGCTTCTAAACACCTATCACCTGCTGGTAAATGCTCCCTAAAGGAGGCAGAGCTAGGGAGTAGGCACAGCCCCAATCTCTGGATTTATTCCTGGAATCTCAGCCTTAGAGGGAACCTGTAATAGGGAACTTACTACCTCATAGAGCAGTCTGTTCCATCTTAGAATAAGATGCCAGTTCTGCCTTCTACTACTCTACCACTACCAGCACCTGCCAAGATCTTCAGCACTACCAGATATATTGCTGAATTCTTACCTACCTTTCTCCAAGCTCTAGGTAAACGTTTACTTCTTCCTAGTCTACAAAATTCCTTCTTCACTAGGGATTACCACCTTCCTGTCTCTTCCAAATACACTTCCACCATCCAAGGATGGATTATTTTAAAATTTCTGCATAAGAGCTCACATGTATATGCATATAAATTAAGGTTTACAGAGCACTTTACACACATTATCTCATTTGTTTCTCACAACAATGCTTATGAAATAAGTGCTATTATTAACCCCTTTCATAGAGGAGAAAACTGAGGCTCAGAGATGTTGTCACTTGCCTAGGGTCACACAGCTGGGAGGCAGGATTCAAACCCAGATCTTCTTAACTTTGAGTCCAGCATTCTCTCTACTACTTCAAGTTGCTTCTCATAACAACACATTATATTCTTTGTTTTTTCAGTTAAATCTTCTCCTGTTTTCAGATCTACGTTCTCTCCCACCTCCCCCAAGTGAGAAAGCAAGCAAAACAAAATTCCTGTAACAACCATTTATAATCAAGCAGCACAAATTCCCACATTGGCCATGTCCAAAAAACACGTTTCAGCCTGTACCAAGTCAGTGACCTCTCCATTTCTCTTTGACTACAGAATCCGTTAGCAGTGACCCCATGGTGCCCAGATTGACTCTTTTGTGAAGGCGAACTAAGCCATCTTTTGCCTCCGTTTTTACCTAGACTCTAACCACTGAATGGGTGTTGCCTCAGACAAACTGAGACCTAGGAAAGACCTTAGCTTAAGAGGGCCAAGGTCTCCCACTGCATCCTGGGCCATTGCCAGTCATCCTGACCTATGTCTTGCCACTAGACTCCAATGACTCTGGAGAAGAGAGTGAGGTTGGTGACTTTGCATAGCTCTGCCTCACTTAAATCCAATTCACTTGCAAGTCAAGACGTCACCCTCCTGATGTCTTTGGTCCTCTTCCAGAATGAAGGACAAACAACAATGATGGGCTAGAAATATGAAACAGGTACCCAAGATGTCAGGGAGTAAGTACCCTGAAGTACCATTGCCATGTGCCAGCAGCTAAGGCCCATGGTGCGTGATGGACAGTGGGGAAGAGGAAAGCCAGGGCAGCAGGAAAAGACGCGTGGATTTGGAAAGGAGGGTACGAGCAGCAAGGGAGACAGAGGGCCCAAGGAGTCCTGTCTTAAAATGCTAAATATAATAAATTTATAGGCATAGTTCATTTCCATTAGTTCCTGAGCTGTCTAGCATAAAGTTATTATCCACTCAAGATTAAAACTAAAAATTTAGTGGGACCTCTCTTCCCAGAAATCTCATAATTTACTCCCCTTTTAAGCCTGTGCCTAGGAAGATTCAAATATCCCATCAACAAAGGAATGGATTGGGCTGGGGGAGGAGGGAGAGGAAAGAGGAAGGAAAAAGGGCAGGAGGGGAGGGAAGAAGGGAAGGAGATTTCCTCCACCATCTGGGGCGGAAGTCCCTTTCCCTTCCCACTCTTGCTAGAGAGTCCAGTGGATGCAGCCCTTCTGAAAGCTAGGAATATGAGAAGCCTGTGAGGCTTCCGCATCCAGAGGAAAAGGGGTAGAGAGAGTTTCTGGAGGAAGAAGGGGAGGAGAAACTAGAAAGGCC